AAGGAGCCTGGCAGGAGCAGAGCAGGGTCCGAGATGCTCAAAAAAGGGGAAAGTTTGGTGACATGCCGCTGGAATCCACGGAGACCTTTGAAATTGGGCTGGGGACAGAAATTCACTTCCCAGGTTGGGGGAGAGTGTCCGGATCCCAGATATAGAGAGCAGGGGACAAACACCTCTGCCTGGGGACAGCTGGCTGGGGTGCCTGGGGGTGGCACAGCAAAGGGACCCAGCTTTTAAGCTGGATATCTTCTGGGGTCTTGGGACCAGGGCGACAGAGGGGACTCCCAAGACCAGGCTGCTCCAGTCCTGGCAGCGGGGCTGGGGCTGGGGCCCCCTTTTCCAGCCACGGACAGGGCAAACCCCTTTCGATTTCCTCCTGAAGCCGCAATAACGGTCCCAGCTCGAAGCCAACACGTTTTTGCTGGTGATAAGTGCCCAAGGAGGCTGGCAGGGGCGGGGAGGGGGTGCAGGCAGAGATTAAACCCGGGGCAGATGAGCACTGCAGGGCCCTGGGGCGGGCAGCAGGCTCTGCTCCCACCCTATCCCCTCGCTCACTTGGGCTCACGTGCTGCCCTCGTGAGCTTGCAGGGGACCGTCCCCTAAACCCAGTTTTCAGGTGAGACCCCTGTATGGCTATGGGGTGCCCAGCCCAGGGCCCCACGCGGGGCATGGCCACCTCAGCACTGCCAGGCTGCTGAGCCCAGAGCCAAAACCCTGCCAGGGCCTCCTCCCGGTCACGTCCCATCTGCCTGTCCGTTCCAGCAACCCCACAAGCCCCTCTTTCCTGAAAGCACCGGCTTCAGGAGTCCCATGATGGCTGGGCTGCACCAGCTCATGCTGCTGAGATGTGGGATGCCCTGCAGCCAGCTGGGGGGCACAGTACCAAAATGGGGGGTCGACATTATCCCCAGCACAGGACCCCTGTGGTTTTGAGGGTGGGGGACTCGCACCTTGAAGCCCCCAGGCAGAGAAATCCCCATGCCCAGTGCAGAACAGCGTGTCCTATCCCACCCAGCATCCCCAGATCACGGCTCACGGAGACGAGGGCTCGCTTACCGGCTCATAGTTGACAGCGGGGGAGCAGGGGGTCACAGCCTGCAAGGAAGCAAAAAGAAGGTCAGGATTAGTCCCTGCAGCCCCCAACCCTGAGCACGGGGCATGGGAAGGGGCCAGGTTGCAGCACCCACCCCCCTCCCCGAGCAAACCCAGCACCAGTCCAAGGGGGTGACAGTGGTCCCCG